GGACAGGTCAGTATGCCCATAACAATCAGCCAGCTCATCATCTGCCGTGCCTCCGCGAACATGCCGTTTTGCATCTTCTTCCTTTGCTCTTTTCACAAAATGCCGAAATGCCAGCACAAGCAATGCAGCAAGGTACCTTTTCGCCATGCTTGGTGACCAGAACACCACAGCAAAATTAGCTGCCACCTCAGCAAATATGTTACAAGGGTTCTTGCAGCAGTTGCGCTCAGCAGTGGTTGCTGTTGATCTGAGGTTCGGCAGATCCTCACACGCGCATATTCTCCAGAAGGCTATGCAGGCGATGAGGACAATGGAGAGATGGGATCCTGGTACGTGTTAAGCGCACTGGGACTGTATCATCCAGATACTCAGCTGCAGTGGCTTCGCAGACAGGTTGTGCAAGGACGGGAACACATGTGATGCTTTGAGTCGATTGTTAGTCCTGGGCTCAAGGTTGGGCTTGGGGTATCGTGCCCAGGCCCCTGGCGTCAGTGAAAATTATGTGCTCGGCGCCGTGCCCCTGTTCAAGCGGGTGAGGCGACGCAGTCTCTTTGGTCTGTTGAACGAGATTGCGGTTGAAGACTCACAGTCAGGCTGCGACATGGTCTAGATTGTTTTGGCACTGCTTTCTGGCATAGTGAAGTCACTTGAATGTGGTTTTGCCAAGTGTGATGTCAAGAAAAGGTCTGCTGTACGGCCATGCTCCTATCAGTGAAGTGACACTCACTTCGTGAGCTGTGGGGCTTTTCATGGTGGCTTACCTTGCTGCATGCTTTGGTGATCCATCCGAACAGAAGCATGTGTGTTATTGTAAGATCAGATGGAGCGCTGTTTCCTTTGATGCATAGCAGTGCTATTGTTCAACTAATGGCTCCGCTTAAGCAAGGCTGCATGAGCTGGACATCACTATCGAAGCGCCCAGCGCTGTTGAGGCCTCACCTGCAATCAAGGCGGGCACAGGCAGAAGCAAGCCATAGTGAAAAGACTCCTACAGTGAGCGGTCCCGGTCCTAGCATTTTGCCAGACCCAAGCAGCTGTCAATTGCAATGTTTGCTTGTAGGCTTCCAGCCGCATTTTGTTTTTTCGCAGTAGTCCGAAGCGTGGCAGGAAGTCCTTTGGCATTCTCGGGTGCTGCCTGGAAAAATTGCCTACTCCGAGCTCCGCTGCTTGCTCAAACTCAAGTGTTATTCTGGGCTCCTCTGGGTCTAAATTATTTCGTGCCTGTATTTATTTTGGGTTTGAAAGCTCTTGTCCTCTCTATTCTCTCTAGTTTAACTCAAAACAACCTAAAATGGAGTCCCAACTGTGCTGATGATGTTCCTGTACGGGGCGCGCGCGCGCGCGTGCGCGTCGTACAGAGGCATCATCAGCACAATTGTGACCCCATTTTGGCTTGATTGAGAACAGGAGGCGTCAAAAACACAAGAAAAGCAATCAAAAGCGTAATTGAACACGGTTCTCTGCGCAGGCTGACCATGTTTTCGTCCACAAGCACATTTACAAATAACAAGCAGTATCTAACGCATTTGATAGGCATCAAGGGAGGCAAAATCCTAGCTCAGGAGTCACAAGAATGTGGAAATACGAGCAAAACAACAAAAAAACATGCAATTTGCACTGTTTGTAGGGTTTGGCCTGCGCAATGCATGCCAAGCCTGTTTCATGCTTGGTGCGACCAAGACTGGTATTTATAGCCACAAACCACAGCACGTATTTTGGAGCATTTTGTCGGGGTTTATCACGCATTTTGAGGTCCCAGCATCCCCCAAGAGCCAGCATCATGAGCATCATGGGGCCTGTTTGGGCCCCCCCATTTCCCTCTTGACACCATATGAGGCCCCTCCAAAACCCTAGGTATGTTGAAGTGGCCAAATGTGAGAAACGAAGGCCCAATTGCGCTGATGATGCTGGCCCAAAAAAACATGCCCAAAACCATCCGAGGGGAAGCCTCAAAAGCGCAGCCAAAAATCATCGCAACTTTTGACCCCCTCGAGGGCCTCCAAGGAAGGGGTGTCGGCGGTCGTGGCGTCACCCCGTATATCGGGCAACGCCCTGGGGTTGCTGCCGCAGGCCATGGCCCTGGCTTTAGCCATGGAGGAGGTCAATGCCGCTGACCCTGCATCATTGGACCTCCGTTTCTCCAACGGGCCCCCCCGGACCCCATTCCAAAACCAAGCCAAAATTTGCACGCGTTCCGGCAACAAATCCCCGCGGCACAGAAGGATTGTTGAGAGATTTTTGGGGTCTCCCAAACCCACAAAAATCTGCATCATGAGCACGAAGGTTTTTGAAAACTAGCCTCCCAGGCCCATCTAAGCCCGGGCGCCAATTTTTGCAGGTCGGACAGGGTACCGGAAGACCTCAGATTGGAGAAACAAGCCCCCAATGATGCTGATGATGCTGGCCCCCTTGGCCAGCATCATGGGGGCTCCGTTTCACAAATTTCGAGGTATCAGGCTGCAGCCATTTTGCTTTGCACCAGGAGGGGTCAAACTAAAAATGACCACATCTGGCCCAAACCCCCGGTTCTGGGCCCAGAACCGTGGGTTTGGGGCAGATGTGCCTGGGTTTGGGCCAGATGTGGTCATTTTGGGTGTTTTGGGAGGGAACCCGAGAAAATGGGTTGAGTCCCTCTTCATGCTGCCTGCGTTGCCCGCCCCTGGGCGCAGCCCCTTCAATACAAGCATAGCTCAGCTAGGCGTGCATCCGCACTTGACCACGACGGCCACTATCTGTCATTATATAGAGAGGCCTCTGCAAAATTGAAGCTAAATCGAAATGAAATAAGATAGGTTATGATCGTGATTATTGAAAAAATATAATTCTTAAAAGAATATTCAAATTTAGCACTTAAAGATTTTTTTCTCGAAATCGTTTATTCTACGAAAATCATCTTCATAATTGGGACTCCATCTTGTTTTGATTGGGACCAGGAGCGGTCAAAAACCCAAGGAAAGCCATCAAAGATGACTTTAGACATGGTTCTCTGTGCAGGCTGACCATATTCTAGCCCGCGATTGCATTTTTTGCAAATCAGCTACCAACAGCAGTCACATTTCACGCACTGGACAAGCTTAGGAGCCACAAAAGTGCTGGACATATGGGCAAAACACGCCCAAAAATCATGCAACATGCACATTTTACAGGGTTTGGCCTGGACAATGCGCGCCAAAGCTGTCTCATGCTTGCCAAGTGGGCACAGGCAGCCTAGAAGCCTGGCAGAAGGAAACGGGACCCCAATGCATCATCAGCATCATTGGGATCCCGTTTCTCCAATTTTGACTTCCCATGCGCCCAATGACCCTTCATGAAATCTAGATTTTTCTCAGCCGTACCCCAAGAGGGGCCTTGGGGCTAGTTTTCAAAACGGCCCGCGCTCATGATGCAGATATTGGTGGTTCTCGGGGATCCCAAAAATCCTTCAAAAATCCGTTCGTGCCGTGGGGATTCGCTGTTGGAGCGGCAGCCCAGCCATGCAGGGTGGTGAGGTCGGGGTTCGGGCCTTCCTTGCTCTCGCTTGAATACCTACAGCGAAACTGCCCAGCCATGCAGGCGGTGATGGCGGCGGGTGACGGGCCCGGTGAGGTCGGTGAGCCTATACCTGTGCAGCCCAGCCACGCCCGAAAATGCGGAGGTCGGTGGGGTGGTGGGCTCGGTAAGGTCGGTGAGTTCGGTGAGGGCGGTGGGGTGGTGAGGTCGCTGAGGTCGGTGAGCTCGGCGAGGAGTCGGGCTCGGGGTACTAAAGCGCGTTGGTGTGAGGACGGCGGACAGCTTCGGCATGAACACAGCTTCACCAGCGCCGCCCCGCCAGCGGGTCGGCGGATATTATGGCACCTAATATTTACGGGTGCCAAGATGGGATCCTAATTTTGGGACCGACCCTCAAGACCGCCGGGCACCCTGAACCTGCAATCACCCACTTGTCGCTACGAGGTTCCGGAGGCGTGCTGCGCTTTGTTTCCCCTGGTGATGCAAGCCTGGGCAAGATAGTGCCTTGGTATATCTTGTCATCAGCCTTTCGGTGCCTTTGGGTCTCATCTTGGCCTCAAGTGTTCTGGTGAGGTATCCAATGTTCGTGGAGCCATTCATCAGGCCGCACGACAGGCCACTTGGCACAGGTTGGCCCGTGTGCGACATGCGAACCTTTGAGCCATGAGGTTAGAGAGTCTGCTGAGCGCGCTGTGGCCTCTCCAAAGTTGCGAGCCCCCAGCGTAGTAGGGGAGGTCGTGCTGGAAGAAGCACTCGAGAAGGCAAGGAGGGTTGACTTCTGTCGCCAGGACTGCCAGTGCCAGTGCCAGTGCCAGCTAAGCTGTAAGGCGGCGACTCCGCCTCCAGATCGGGAAGAGGCCAGCACCTGCACTTAAGAGATCCTGCCACCGCTTGGGTTGCAAGATGACAAGGTCACCGCATTGACATGCACTAATCAATGAGAAGTCTGAAGCTGCATGTCAGGAAGGTGACCCTGGGTCGAAGCTGCCTTTGCTGCTGGCATCCTTGGGTCTCGTGGCACTGCTCTACCAATGCCTGCGGCAGCGCTGCCGCGATGTGAAGCAGAAGGAATGACCGCAGTATACCTGTCAGAGAGGCATCAGACCGGTGTGTAGATTGTTTGATTGTCTCAAAGTTCATTTTATACCTGCTGTTGGACTAGGCTGCTTCTCTGTCTGTGGTCATTTGTGTCGGCGCAAGTGAATTCTCCCACCAACAAAATGCGCGCAACGGGGCTTCGGATTCCATGGGTATGTGGGCCCCGAACATTCCGGTGTGGAGACCCAAACAACTCAGAAATTCAGTTTTCAGGCACCTACCCTTGGATACTTTCCGCAGACTGATTTTTGCTAGGATGTTGAATGGCCCGTTCCTAAGCGGGCTTCATGGGCAATTGAGGGCAATGCCACCAAGTATCAGTAATCATCACAAGTAACAGCCTCGGTGTCCGGGACATTCACGTTCAAAGAGCTCTCATTGTTCTGCGGTTCACAAGTGGAGCATCGTGGCAGATATCAGCACCACCAACATGTGGCTGTTCGATGTCGACGGCAAGATCCAGAAGTATGACAGTCCGGAGGCAGAACCTTTTTCAAAAGAGAGAACAGTTGCTATGCGGCTGCTAGATCATGTTCAGTCCTGAGCTGGCCATGCCACAAGGTTTCTTTGATATTTGTTTTGTTTTGGGTTCGCTGTCCTGTCATGTTCGGCCGACCAACCCCTGCCACTACGGAAACGCAGCGCAAAATGCACATTCAGAAACTGGTAGTGCTCCGAAGCGGTTTTCTGTTCTTCATCCATGTGTTTGCTTGTAAATTGCGCAGTCTCCATCTTGAATTGCAGGATATCCTTCAGGCCTTCTTCCCTGTCCGCTATGAGATGTACGAGAGGAGGAAGGCCATGGCTGTGTATTGTGGTTTCCATGTCTTGTGCAAAACTTGGTAGACTCATGTCCTTGCCTGCAACTGGTAGGGAAAGCATTGAAGAAATTTGGGCAACCTTGACGCAGGCATACATGGTCGACAAGATGGAGCGAGAACTCGCAGTCCTCTCCAACAAGTGCCATGGCTCGGCTCAGTCGGAAGCGAGTCCGCGGGGATGACTTTCGGTCCAGACGCCAGACAGCTGAGCATACCCAAGCCAACCAAGCCAAGGCTGCGCTTTGTGGAGTTGGTGGTGGGAGACAGGCAGACAGTAAGAGCATTGGAAGATGTTTGCTGTTACGGTCCTGTGCTTGGGGGTTCTTGAGAAGCGTTTCTGAGTGATGTTGCCTCAGCACGCCTCAGCTACTTTCCAGAACCCACAGCGACTGCCACCGTGTTGCGGCTAGTATTAAAACTGCGTGGGCAGCTGAGATAAGCCTAAAGGTCCACGCAAGCACAGGCTTGAAATCTCTTGAGCATGTGTAAGTTATGTAAGAGAAGCAGCCCGGCACAAGATCCTTACTCAGCCTGGCCTGGCCAGACTGGATGTAGAGAAGAAGAAGATGGTCGATCTTTGCCTCAAGATGCGCAAGCTTGGTCTGGAGCATATGCCTACCACTCGGAGCGCCCGTTGGTTGCTCGGTCTGAAGTAATCTTGCCGAAAGAGCACCCAGGTGCCAGATCAAGGGTGAAGGTTCTGTGAAGGTGGGCACGGAGGTCCAGCTTGCGCTTGGCAGTGACATGTGCTGCAGCTTGATGAGCCTCGCTGCTGCTTCGGCTTGCAGATTCTGACTTCTTGAGAAAATAGCAGAGTGTTCAAAGCAAGAAGACAGGTCACCCAACAATGTCCTACATCTTGTTCGTTCGTGCAGACAAGCATATAGATCCGTTTGGAATTGTCCGCAACGATGCAGGCCTCCAGCATTTGGCTGCTTCTTAGCAAGCAAGTCTTATGCTGAACTCCTGCAAAAGCAGTTGCATCGCTTAAAGGTGACACAGTACCTCCAGCAATGGCTATAGAGATAATGAGATGTCCTCAGTCAATTCCGTCATTGCCTGTGATTTGCTTGAAGGCTCCCAGCGCGCAGCGCATTGCAAGCATTCTGCGGTCAGAGGCACGAAGGTCCTGATTTAATCTTAATGCGAGTGCCGCCGGCTGTGAGCTGCGGGAAGTGGGGGGGGGCGTATCTGGGTAATAAATCACCGTGGTGGGAACAGCTTCAGGAAATTGGGATGATCAGCAATGAACCCGGACACCCAGGACAATGACCAGAAGCCTCAGCGAAAGAAAAACGATCGGGCTGAAACTTCGGGCTAGTGCGTCCGGGGAGGGCGGGTTAGGGGAGTGGGGACTTGTTTCTTAGTACAGGCCTGCGGCCTCGGATTTCTTTTTGGGAGGAGCCGTGGGTGGCACCACCAACTTCTTTGGCCATTGCCTCGAGGGTTTGCTCTCTTCATGCATACTTCACCAAGTAGTACCATTGTAGAGCCACCGGAAGCAAGATGTGAGCAAGGAATCCTTTGGCCTTTGGTCTGTCTGAGGATCTGGCCCACAGCTTGGCGACAAAGCAGCGCCAGCTTGTGAACCCATCCCTGCTGAGACCTCAGCAGCCTTCATGATCACTTGTAGCTGCAGTTTGGTTGTGGTCTTGCCACTAGATGCTTTCAATTCTGCTCCTTCATGCTGACTGGTGGTGGGTTTGAGCGCACTTAGTATGCGCTGAAGTTTCAACTCGCCTGGTAATCGCAGACTAGGCCAAGCCTATGTCTCAGCTGAAAAGCTCTGAAAAGCTGCGTGCTCTGACGACATTCAGAGATTCTTTTTTTCTGCCAGCCCAGGTCGACTTCGGGAAGGCTGACAGTGCCTGCGGCCAGGGCCTGATGCCTTTGGGATTTTGCATCCAGTCATTTTGCCTGCGCAAGCTGGGACTCTGGCCAGCAAGCCATTCTGCACAAAGATCGGCATGGCTCGCTGGCAACAGTGCTGTCTTCTGGTACAGAGAGCGGCGGTGGTACAATTGCATGTCAGAAGCACCAATACCTGCATTGCACAACTTCACCATTCCACAGATGCCGTTACATGTAGGCCTTTATTTGCAGTGTCCATTTGTCGAGTGGGCCTTTGAAAGCGTCCACGTAGAATAGGTATTCATGATTCTTGTAGACCCTTGGCCTTGATGGTGGCGCCTAGCTAGCATCCTGCCACCTACATGGATGTGGGGCCTGAGCTCCTTGCCTCTCGGCTGAGACCTGTCAAGCTAGTGACCAGGTAGTGATTTGCGGTACACTTCCCGTCCTTTCGCTGACGGGGTGCGAAGGAGCAAGAGGTCACAGGCAGCATCTGCCCGCTGCTGGGAGAGAATGGCCCTTTTGAGTCACGGCCCAACACTGGCTGCAACGCAGCAATCTGCCAATGTGCCCGGGCGTAAAGATGAAGAAAGCCAAATGGTATGAACACAGACGAGGTTTTGAACGTGCATTTGACCAATATCTCTTCAAGCGTATCAGAGGCATGGAGAAGCAGCGACTATGGCACGGGCTCCTGAGCTGAATGCCCTAGACCTGTAGAGAGCCTTCGATGTGCTTGATCCCAAGCAGAGACTTCAACAGGTGTTGCCGAGCTAAGGGCCAAAGGCTCCAACAGCCCTGTGCCAGACGTGACTCACTTGATATCACTTGAGCCTGGCTTTCAATCTTTTGACATGTACCGCGTGCTGATATCCACAGCGCTTCTGAGCTTGCAGTCAGGTAGCACGAACCCGAGATCGCGTTTTTTGCAAAGCGACTGTGAGTCACTGGAGTTGCACAGAGAGCCTATGATGAGGGGAAGCGTAGCTGTACGCACGGTCAGGCAGAAAACTTCAGCGAGTTGTTGCAGCCTTTAGATGGATCCGGTCTTTCTAGTCTAAGGCGTGACCCACGTTGATGTGAAGACTGGCAAGTTTCAGGCATGTTGCTCAGCAAGCGATGCAAGCGTGTTAGCATCCACAAGTCGTGCTGTGCTGGCAGCAGCCCTTAGACCCTGCAAACTGGCCTTGCACTGAAGGTTCGAATGCTCTGCAACTGGGCGTTCCGAACGGCCAGTCCGAAAAACGAGACTGGGCGCATGAAAACGTGCAATTTCCCAACATACCTCACAACAGCTCGTTGTACGCATTTAAAGATCTAGTGCATCTAGTGGGTGTGCTGTGCACTTCAGCAGGAAGTTTAAGTAGCTGCAAAACGCAAGTCGCAAGCGAGTTTGTGCTGAGGATACGGAGATTAGCTACCGGGGCGTTCCAGGTATCCGAGTTCCAGGCTGGGCCGCAGAACATGCAAATCCATTGATTTTCATGCCCTTCTTTGTGAGTGTTCACTCAACACGAGGTCTCCAGACCGAAGTTCAGGAGTCTCGTGTTTGGAAAGACCTGAACGACACGGAAAGCAGTACAAAGAGTCTTGGCTGCATAACTGTTGACCTTGCGATATGGCCTACCGGCGCAAACATGGTCGACCCATGGTTGGGGTTTCGATGGTGTGTGTGCTTTTCCTGCTGCTTTGGCGCCTCAACTAGCTTTGGCCATGCGCAGATAATGAGGAACAGAACGATCTTCTGGCGTGGCACCTCCATCTTCTGGATGCGATTTGGCAGGCATTTTATCTTGTTCGGGACCTTCAATACTTGGACGCACACCAGCCTGCCCCACCTCCAAGACAGGCAGTTCAGTGAGAGCTATCAAGCTAAAAGGTGTGCTCCAACAGACAGATCACTTTGCGCTAGGTCTGCTAGGTCCGCCTCCTATCGCCGTGTGTGCGAATGTATGGATGCCTTTGAAAGGTATTGATACACATCCACTTCTTTCTTGCAGGGCGACTGTGTCCCAAGAAAGTCTGGTAAGGATCATCAATTAGACATGAAACCTAGTTCATTTATGTGCATTCATTGCCTCTTACAGGTAGCGTTAGAAGCTTCTGTACATATACATGTTTGTATAGCCAGTATATGTATGTATATGTAGATTCATGGCACATCTGCAACTAATGCACAGAAGCAGCATCATGTCTACTACCATTAGAAGAATTTTGACAGTAATGGTCATCATGGTTGCCAATACCACTTGACACCTTTATCTTCATCATCTTGCTCTCAATCTTCCTCCTCTTCCTCTTCCCTCTGCCCTTAGTCTTGCGCGGTTTTGTCATCAGCCGTAGGAGATATGTAGAGGCCGCACATTGGATTTGTACCGTAGAAGTTTTTGATTCGAAAGCAATGACACACTCACCAAAAACGTCAACATATACCCCTACACTTGGAAAATGATCACGCACTGGTTAGACATGGGTCTGTGTGTGCTGAGGCGCCTTAGTCGCCCAGCTGAACTCTCCTTGCTCTGATCATGCTATTGGGCTATGGCAGTGGGAGGGTTCGCAAGTTGACAGAAGATGACTTTGATGCAGCTTCGCCAGGTTCTGGCATTTCCCCCCGGACACTGACTGAGATACCCAGTTTTCCCTTGCCCTTTTGGTTCCCCGGCGCGTTTCAGACGTTGCGGCATTCATCCAAAGCAAAAACCAAGATTCCAATGACCATTAGCCCGCACATCAAATGAAAACCGAACATCACATCCTTGCCACCAGCAACACTGATCCCATCAGCTGACAGCTGACGCACTGCACTGCACTGCACTGAAGACGAATGCCCTGCTGCTAAGCCCAAAGTTGATTTTCGATGCATGGCTGCTCAGGACGGGGTTCAAGAAGTATCCCGTCAGCGAATTCCCCTTCGACAGGCATGTGATATGTTTGTCCGACGCCTAGTTACTTACTTGGCCCGACTTCGAGTTGAGCTGATTGGTGGAGTCAGTTTTGACAGTTTCAGCTCAGGCAGCAAATAGATTTTGTGTGGCGTGTCCACCGTGATGATGATACATTCTATGACTCGATGCAGCTTGCCTCGGTTACATGCTGAGCAAGGTGCTTGCTGGGAAGCAAACCGTGGAGTTTTGCAGCCATGCCATCCTTGTCTTTCTTTTCGTCGCGCAGTGGGTTTGCTGCCAAGACTCTTCATGTTGTTCTTCCGTGTTCTGCACATGTTGATGAGACCAGGAAAGTAGCTTGGTCCCTGGTCTGCAACAGCTTTGCGCTTGAGAGATTATTATGGTGCGCAGGTTGATTCTCATTTGACAGCTTATTTTTTTGCAAAGTTTTGTTGTTCATGCGTGGCATTCTCGCGAGCTGTATCGTCACATGTCTTGGAAGTTCCAGATTCCAGGCTTGAAATAGAGACATCCTCTGTGCTGGCAGACGCCCGGCAGCGCCTGAAGGGCTAGGCGTTAGATGAGGAGCGGGACTTTCGGAGGGTGGCTTGCAAAGAATGTCTTTGGAGATACTTGAAGACTGCCTGCACATAGTGAAGCTGAGGAATGGTCGCCACTTCCTGCAGCTGTGCGACCTTGTGATGATGAAGAGAAACTGCCCTTGCGCGGGGATGGCAAAGGCATGCTGCACATTTGAGCACGACGGATCAGGAATGTATGCTAGAGCGGAACTTGCGAAGCTGGCGTAAACGTCCGCTGCAGGCGCTACTTTACCCTTTGCATCCAAATTTCAGCTGCGCCTGCGGATTGAGCGCAAGCACGGTTTTTACGTGCCTATGCAGCAGACCAGAACAGCTGCAGCCACCAGCAGCCGCAGCAGCGGCAGTGGTGCATTACCAGACCAGCAGCAACACCACCTTAGCCTTCTAGATTCCCGTGCAAAGGTGCGGCAGATCATGGTGATCTCTACCCTGCCACGAGCCTGCCAAATCCAGGGCATGGATTCAGACTACAGTTGATTTAGTCTACGCGATCTGGAATGGATCAACTGTATGTCCGACAGATTGAGCATTTTCAAGCTGCGCAGTTCATGAAGCGGTACTGTTTTGAGACCCTTTGCATGTTTGGCTCAGCTCTTTCGCAGCAGTCCAGGATTACGTTGAGTTCGTGCTCTCCATTGGCAATGCCTCCAACTGAGGAGATGCAGTTCAGCCATGACTTAGCACCGACAGTCCTTGCGTTCTGTTGCACTCAGCTTTGGTCTTTGTTTGGTTCAGCTGTTGATGACGCACGAGGCTTCCATGTCATACAGCGAGCATGCATGCTGGGAATTGTAGAAGTACTGATCAGTGTGTTGGAAGTGGAAAGGTGTTCCGCTGACGACTTGGTGCGATGGCATGCTTTGTCTTTTAGAGTCGTTGGTGCTGGTTGAGCTGTGATCTTCAGCGGCGATCTGAGCGTGGCCTTCCAAAACAATCAACACCATACAAGAAAGATGATTCTAAAACTGTGCTCTGGAAGTCGCAGCACGCAGGATCACATGGGCGACCGTTTGTCCGTCTACGGCGGAGGAGTCGCAAGGGGGCAGCCATTTGTTACCCGTGGTGAGCCCTCATCTGTGACAGGGTCATGGTGCGATCTGGCTCACAGTTGATATTGCAGGACTCCTCACGCTGGTGGCGTTCAAATACGGTGCCTCGAATGCAACAAGCATCACGAAACCGCCTGCATTGTTCAAATGCGTAGAGTTCTCAGCTTCCCATCAGCTTGTTTTGTTCTTGACCGTGCTCTGACAGCTTGAACGTGCCACGATGACACAGGACTGTAGGCCCGTAAAATCTAAGGCGTGCTTGAGAACAGTAGCCGTAGCCCATAGGAGGTCCCTCGACATTGCAGTCGGATGTAGCTGAAAGCGATGCCCAGCTTTAGAACCCCGGATCTTTTGTCCGGTCTTATGAGATGCATAGTGCTTGAATTCATGGGAGTCAAGGCATCATGGATCATCTGCCGAGCGTTCCCTATTCAACGTTCACTGCAGCTCTGGCAGCACTGAAATCTTCTCGCAACTTCAAAACCTTCACGAGCCCTTAAGAAGCTCCCAGGACGATTTCCTGATGGGCCAGATCATCACGGTCTCTTTTTGCATACTTGAGTGCTTGGTTGTCTACAGGCGAGGCTTAAGCCAAGGGAAGCCTGCTGCAAAGTCGTTAAGTGCGCGCAAGCCGGCAAGCAGGCAAGGCAAGCAAGGGAGCCAAAACAAGCAAAAAAGGCAGCAAGGCGCCGAAACGAGGACGGAAGCCTGATCGCAAGCAACTGAGCCGGCTGTAGCAATTGCTTTGATATTAAGGGGTATTATCCGGGGGGAGCTGCGCCAAATTTCACAGCCCAACAAATTCGCGGATCGGACACTCGCCGAAATGGCGGCTGCTGGGAGAGGGGGATGGCTAAGAGATTCTCCTAGTCTCCAAACCAGGATCCCAGGCCTCCGGCCTTGGCGGATTTGGCAGTGGTGTCCTGATATCGCATTTCTTTATTTGGAGTTTAGAATGTTGGCTTTTGGGGGGCCATGCCGCCGGCACTACTGCACAACTCATAGAAGAAGAAGGAAAGAAACACACTGAAAGAAAAGAGATGAAATGAGTGTGCACGGAGGGGATGGCGGCTTGCCGCTCCCTCATTCATTCATGAGCAGCCATCACGTGAGTGCACGCAAGCTGAGTCAGCGCCCTCTATTGGGGCCCAATCATCTGCAAAAGATGCTCATCGCGGTCCCTCTGTTATCAAGGGCACGGGCGCAACAGTGACATGACCGACTCCACTTACCAACA